GTTAACAAACTCAATCTCTTCACCATACATCCTGATGCTGCCAATTGGTCCACCAATGTATATACTTTTTATTTAATCATCCAATTGTTGCTATGTGCAGTCGACTAACTCATAGTGACCCTGTGTACAACAGCTCTGAATTCAGCACCATCTTGAGCCAGTTTCATTGCCTTTGACACATCTTCCCCTATTACTCCAGTTACTTAGTCAATCCATCTCATTCAGAGTCTTCCTCTCTTGCACGGTCCTTCCAGCCTTCTAAGCATGATATTCTTCTCCAAGGACTGTTTGGTCCTTCCTTGCAGCATGCCCAAAGTATGTCAGAGCTTCAAAATCCTTGCCTCTAAGGAGCAACCTGATTTCACACTCTCCAGGACAGACCTGTTTGTCTTAGCAGTTCATGGTATATTCAATATCCTTCTCCGAAACCACAGCTCAAAGACACTGATTCTTCTGTCATCCTTAGTCATCGTCCAGCTCTCTGATGCATAGCAAGTAATTGCGAAGACTGTGGCCTGGATCAGACAGACACACGTTGGTCTCTAGATTGACATCATTCCTCCTCAGTACTCTGGAGTGGTCTCTGACAGTACATTTTCCCAGTGCAATTCATCTTTTTATTTCCTGATTGCTGGTATCAAGACTGTGGAACTAAGCAAACTGAAGCTGTTAGCAGTCTGTCTCCTCTCTCTATGATGATGCTGCCAGTTCAGCCCAGGGGTGAGAGTATTTGTTTTCTTACTGTTGAGCTTCATCCATATTGAAGGCTGTAGTTCTTGACCTAATGCAGCAGATACATCAGGTACTTCTCAGTTTTGGCAAGCAAACCATCTATTTACGTTAGCACTAAACCCAGCTTCTTGTTATGTGTCATCAAGCTGGAACTGACTCATAGCTGATTTTCTAGAGGATTTTTTGGAGGCTGTAAATCACACGAAAGGAGATTTCCTGTCTTATCTCCCATGGAACAGCTGGTGGTTTCTAACCACATGCCTTTAAGTTGCTAGTGCAGCTCTTGACCACATAGTCTAATAGGCTAAAACCCAATTTATTTTTCAGGGGAAGGGGACTTCCTGGAAAGAATCAAATGCTTAAATCTCATTTGAAGCTTCTAAGTTCACCCTGTTCTCCACACTTTACTGCTTCCTCAGCACTGCTGGTAATCCTGAATAGGAGACTCCCGGAGCCTGAAGGCTGGAACACCGTTTCCCTCCTTGGGACCAGATCAGAGATCCACTCTGCAGTACAGTAGGGCCCTGTGACTTAGGGCAAGTTACTTCATTGTTTCAAGCTATAGATTGCTTACTTCTAAGGGACTTGATAGGGGAAACAGTTAATTTAGGGAGTTATTCAGCTCCCTAAGAAGTTCTTAGCACATTTCTTTCTTGCTGAACTTGTTAAGTGCCGTTGAGTTGGCTCTGACTTCATGTTTTTGTTATGTGTCATTGAGTTGCCTGCAATTCATAGTGACCAATACAACAGCTCTGAATCCGGCCCTGTCCTGAGCTAGTCTTGCTGACTCTGGCACACTACCCATTACCTCAAGTCACTGAGTCAATCTATGTCATCTTGAGTATTCCTTTCCTGTGCTGTCCCTCTACCCTTCGGAGCAGATGTTCTCCAAGGACCGGTCTCTCCTGGCATGTACCCAAAGTATGTGAGATGGAGCTTCAAAATACTTGCCTTCAAGGAGAAACTTGGTTTCACCCTCTCCAAGACCTATTTGTTTTCTTGGTAGTCCATGGTATGTTTAAGACTCTTCTCCAGCACCACAACTCAAAGACATCAATTCTTCTGTCATCCTTAGCCATTGTCTGATGCATAGCAAATAATTGTGAAGACTCATAGTGACCATATATATCTATATATATATATCTATATCTATCTATCTATCTATCTATCTATCTATCTATCTATAAAACAGAATGAAACCTTGCCCCACCCTGTTCCTTCCACCCGGTCTGCTGTGTTTAAGCCCAGTGTTTCCGTCACTTTGTTGATCCATCTCCTTGAGGATCTTACTCTTTCTTTTTTTTTTTTTTTAAGAATCTTACTCTTTCACTGATGTTTCAGTTTCCCAAGCATAATGTCCTTTTCCACGATCTTCCCCCCCCATAGCACCCCCAAAAGTATGTGAGACGTTAATCTCACCATCATTTTCTCCAAGAAGCACTCTGGCTTCACGTCTTTCAGTTATTCCAAAACAGTTTATTCTTTTAGCAGTCCATGAGCTACTCAACGTTCTTCACCAACATCGGGTTTTTAATGTTCTTTATTCATTATCCAACTTAAGGATATTTAAAACCTCTTTTTCATATGCGTGGATTGACAATTTTTCAGAACCCGATGTCCAGGCCTGTCTTCCAAGACAATTCTGGGTTGGAACCAATAGTCTTTTTGTTAGTTGTCAAATATTTACCTGTTTATGCCACCCAGGAACCATATAGATGGACAAGAGTATAAAGATGACATTTAAGACCATGAACTGAATCATCATCATGAGAGAGCATGTGGGTAGAGAAGAGAAGGCCTTGAGGAAAAGCAACATTTAGAGATCACATAGAGAAGGAGCCAGATTTGGAACACTCAGTTACATAAGAGGAAACCAGGAGATGATGGAAACCACAGAGAAGAGTCAAAAAGCTAAATGGTTAGAAAGTAAAATCTTGTGTTAGGTCCAGAAAAAAGTCCTTAGGCTTGCCAGCTTAATTTCCTCTAGATTAATCCCGGTTATACAGTGTTTCTCCAGTTAGTTATCATTCTTCAGTGTTGCATAATACTCCACTGTGAATGTGCCATATTTTCTTTAACCAATCTATTGATGGACACTCAAGTTGTTTGCCTCTCTTTGCTATTGAAAAAAGCTAAGGAAAGGTTTACATACAGAGTCATTTTTGAATGGTTAGGGAGGGAGAAGAGAGTAAAAATAGATTAATAGACATTAAGTTGGGTGAAGGGAAAGGCAATATACAATAAGGTTGATAAGACATTGTAATTACATTAATAAATTCTTTTTTTCATAAACTGTCATTTTATAAAACAAAATGTACATGAATGAGAAAGCAATTTAATTTGTAAACTTTCACTCAAATCACAATACAAGTCCCTAGGTTTAGCATCATGGTTATTGATGGCCTTGAGTGGATTTCAATATACTGGTGGAGATGGAAGCCAGATTGGAATGGGTAGAGGTTTGAATTTAGGGTGAGCAGGAGGAGGAAAGTATAGCTGTCAAGCATTTTTAACTCCTAAGGAGAGAAACAGGGAAAGGATTTAAAAAAAAAACAAAAAAAACCCAACATATAAAACGAACATTTATTGAAAGCTTAATGTAGACCAGGCACAATGGTATGAATTATTAAATCATGTGTGTGTGTGTGTGTGTGCTGCGTGTGTGGAATGTTTATCTAACAAATTGGTTTCCCCCTCAATAGTTCATACACAAATTGTTCTGTGACATTGGTTGTGATCTTCATACCATGTCAGCACTGATCCTATTTCCATGCTAACTTTCCCATTTCCATGCCCCTCCCCACCTTTTCATTTTTGCTTTTGAATAGCTGTTGCCTTTTTGGTCTATTTTTAAATATCTAATTGTTCTAAAGGGCACATTCTTCCCTAGTGGTGTTCATTTTAAAGGCCAGTCTATTATGTGTTTGAAAGGTGGTATCTGGGATTGTTATAAGATAGTAGTCTAAAGTATTCCTCCAGTCTCTTGTCAGACCAGTATGCTTGGTCTTTTTTTTTTTTAATTTGAACTTAGTTGTATATTTTTCATCCATTCTAACTTAGATCTCATTTTGTGTTTCTGGCCAGAGCAGTCAGTAGTCATAGCTTGGTACCATCAAGTTCTTCATTTCTTTTTCAATAGATCCTAGAGATTTGGGGAGTGATCTGAGTGATCTGGGGGATGATTCAGTATAAAGATTGAGGTTGAGGTCTGTGGTGCAGGAAAGAAAAGGATTGCATGGAGAGTGAAATCCTCAAGATTAAAACTAACGAGTTATCGTTGGCCATGTACAGCACAGTCACCAGCATTCACATGCACATTCAGCACTGACAGCATCCGTCATGTTAATATAACACAAAGATATAACAGCCAAACTGACAGATTCACACACAGTCTCAGCTACTGATGTCACTAATACACATACAGACTCA